CCCTGCAAGAGCTGGCACAGGACTTGGAAAGCATGGCACACAAGGCCTACCCAACTGCACCACCCGATCTCCTCAAGTTGTTGCTGAGGGATCAGTTCGTAGATACCTTGGGCAGTCCACAACTAAAGATACAAGTGAAGCAAGCACACCCCTCTACCATGCAGGATGCAATGGCCAGAGCTCTCGAACTTGAATCCTATGTTAAGTCCAGCACATAGATACCAAGGTTGGTACAGTCATCTGGATTCAAGGCCAGAAATAGCAAGCTTTCAGAGAGGTTTGAGGGACTTTGCTGGCACTGTTACAAACCTGGGCAGAAGAGAGCTCATTGCTGGCAACTTCAACACAGGGCAGATGATACAGCAGGAAATGCTGCTACCCAGAAAGGCTGTTGGAAGTGTGTGGAGCAAGGACATATGAGGAGCCAGTGTATGAAGAATATTACTAACAAATCAGCCTCAAGGAGACCAGTAGTGGTTGGTGTTGAGGGACACTCACCAACCCCCATCATGAAAATCCCTACAGCTAGGTGTAAAATGCCAAGCACACACAGTGTCTATGTGACAGGAAAGCTGGATGGCCAAAGGTGCAACTTTGTCATAGACTCTGCATCTCAGCAAACCCTTGTGAGCATCAAGGTGTCAGATCACGAAGGTGTACCAGAGCTGTACAGAAGCTCTGTGGTGTGACAGGACATTAGGCAAGATTGTGGGGACCAGTGTGGGTGACTATTGAGCTCAGGGGCATAAAAGACAGACAGAAAGTATACTTGGCTGACATGGAAGACCAATGCATATTACGATTGGACTACTTACTACCGAGGAAGTTTGTAATTGATTTTGATAAAATGACGTTTGGGAACAACAAAGGACAAGTTCTGGTAACTGTTAAAAGAGAGGTTGAACTAATTAGGTGCCATCAAGGTGAAGTCAAAGTGACTGAAGAAGTTGATGATGGTGAAGTGGAACTAGGTATAGTTATTAAAGCAGAGCAGGAGAAAGATCAAGATTTGAAGCCAATAACTGATTTTCTAAAAGGAAGTGTTTCACGCCCTGCTTGGGAGAAGGTGTCTAGTCTAAGCCCTGTGACAAAGCACTATTGGGCACAATGGGACAAGTTAAAGCTTGAAGATGGTATTATTGTACGGAGATAGGAAACTGACGACTTGGCAAACGGTTATACCGAGAAAGCTACGGGAAGTTGTGTTGCGTCAATCCCACGATACTGTAACAGGAGGACATCTCGGAATTAAGAAAACATTGAGTCACCTACGACACAGATTTTACTGGATAGGTATGAGGCAAGATGTGGAAGAATGGTGCAGAACATGCAGTACATGTAGTGCTAAAAGGGTACCCAACCATACCAGACGCCCACCTCATGAAGAGCTGCCTAAAAAT